TAAACTTGTTGCTGACATAATGGAGGACAAACTTGTTGATCTTAGTTTTTTTCATAACGTTTTGATATTAATTTGCCCTCTAGTGGGTAATGTTATTATTGTTAGTTAGGAAAGACTCGTCTTTTTTTATACTAACAGACAGATGGAAATAAACATATATATGTATTTATATAGAGAGAGGTATTGTAAGTCTCACGAGGTTTACCTTGACCTTACGCACGCCTAATATTAAAATTGAGAAACGTATTATTTATCAACTGTAATCAGTCACGACGGAGCCAGAAAAGGCCGTTTCTTTGAGAAGTTCCTGGATCACTCGTAACACAATATAAAATTTAAGGACAACAAGACAACTGTTGGTCCATCTAAGCCGTCCCATCAACTGAACTAAACTATTTTAAGAAACAAAAAATAAAACTTTTTCGCGTAAACTTTACTGTATGCGTCACATCTAAAAGAAACCTAAACCTAAAGGCCAGTCTTAGATACTTGAATCAGATCCAACTGCTGTCTCAAAATTCATCAACTTGCTCCATATTGTTTTTTAATTTTATGGGGAGCATGCCCCCGAACCCCTATATGAATTCATGCTTTCGGCACTAGTGAGACGCCTGATTTTATATACTTCCCACCCCCTACTCTTTCTGATCCGTGACATCTCTACATAATAAATAAAACTGGCCAGTTTCTCAAAGAAGTTCAGTTTCACTCGCCGAGACGTTGAAAGTAAGTTATAGTTTCACTCGGACAACAGAAACGTTGGAAACAAGTTTCAATTATAGTTTCACTCGGACGACCGAAACGTTGGAAACAAGTTTCAATTATAGTTTCACTCGGACGACCGAAACGTTGGAAACAAGTTTCAATTATAGTTTCACTCGGACGACCGAAACGTTGGAAACAAGTTTCAATTATAGTTTCACTCGGGCGACCGAAACGTTGGAAACAAGTTCCAATTATCTTGGGATAAGATTTATTTTCAGTTACCCGGTGGCTTAACGACAAGTCTAAGGGCTTTAACGCTAAAACTCGGGTTTCGATACTCGTACTGAACATAGCACAGATGGTCCATTACGTGGCTTCGTATTTAACAAAAAAAAACGGACTAGCCTGACCTGACCAAACAGTAATCTTTTACCGTTATTCTTATAGTGCACCTACGACTCCAAAGTACGAAACGCGTTTTTGCAGAATTGGGACGCGTGCGATGACACTTCGGATCCACAGTCAGGGCACTTTAACCCTAGGCCACGCCTAGCCCATTTGTTTGTTTAACACAAGCTCACACAATGACATATTTGTGCTCTGCTCACCACGGGTATTTAAATCCGGTATTTGGCCTTATAAACCTTTAGACTTACCTCTGAGCCACCGGGGGCTCTTCAGACAACCGTGTGTTAGTGAACACACGTATTATTAACTGCTTTCGTAAAAACACACAAAACACCATAACAGCTGTTTGTCCAACACCTTTCTTTTCAACCCGGAACTGAGCGCTATCCGTCCTCGCCCTTTGCACCTTATGAAGTTCTCCTGGCATATAATAAAATAATACCATGCACGCGCTGCGTGGCTGAAACGAGGAAAGCGTCTATACTACTGAAATAGGTCACAAACATAGCCGCTCCCATCGTCTGATGCATGACAAGAAACTATCCCAAGAAATGTTTGTATTCTGTACGTTTTTAGTCGTCGTGGGTTTGAAATATCACCGTATAATGATATAATGTTTTATTAATTTCGCGATGCCGACGCTGGTATAATTACTCCCACCCATTCGATACGAGTACAAAATATAAATCAGGAACTCCCAAATTTATAGACTTTGGGGGGGGGGGGGGTCATAAGAAACCGAG